GGGGGACGACAACCCAAAACTAACATATCAGGCAGAACTGATCTTAGTTCTATAAAAATCACTTAGAAAAAAAAAAAACTAATCAAGATCTGATAGACAGGGGTAGGGCTATGAGTCAGATGGACAGATGGCTAGCCTAGTATGCAAGAAGCTTTGGGTTCAATCTCCATTACCACACATACAAGGTGTCCATGCATGGAGGCAGGTTATTTTCAGTACATAGGAAGGTCAGGCCAGTCAGGATACCCAAGACCCTGCCTCTAAGATAAAATAAACAACACATACACAAAATATTAATAATAATAAAAATTCTGCCAGATAATCAGACATGATATGGTAGCCAACACATGCCTATAATGCCAGGTCCTGGGAGGTAGATGCAGGAGGATCAGGAATTCAAAATCAGTTTAAGCTATAGAGTTCAAAGTCAGTCTAGGTTTCAGCTAAAATAACACCCAAGCCTGTAATCGCAGCAACTGGGAGGTGTATGGAGGCGGAACAAACAGCAAGACTTTGTTTAGAAAACAAAGGGGAAAAACGCTATACTACCAGAATGCAGCAAGAGCGTTATTCTGATGAGAAAGCATGGTAAAGACATCAAAAACCCTTGCCAACTTAACCCTGAGCCAAGTGGTTTAAAGAGAACCAGCATTTTAAAATTACTTAAAGGATGAAATATATTACAAAAACCCCACACATTCTCTTCTGGGAGTTTTTACTTCTTAGTATAAGACCAAGGAGGAAAAAGGAAAAACGAAAAGAATTCTTACTTTGAGAAAACAGCTACCTAATAAAGTATGTATCTCATCTGCTTTTTCCAAGGTAGCATTCCAAGATTTATGTGGAGAATTAATAAGCTACATAAAAGTAAGACTCTAGGAGAACATATAATGGCTATGTGAAATCCGACTGCGGAGCTCCCGACAGTCAAGGCAAAGATGATAATGGAAACTGAGCAGGTGACATTCTTTTCTGTTGTTTCAAGTACCATCCTGATCTCAATTCCAATTTTTAGACCAATAACCAAGAACAGCATTGCCTTGGACTCATACTCACCCCCATTTCTTCTTCCCGTACCACATACTGGGCCACTTTAAATGAACTCAAATATTCATTCATGCCCTGCAATTCTGTGTCTTCAGTCTCATCCTGGTTGCGATCCAGCAGTCGTTCAATGGCCTTATCATCATAATGGATAACACTGCTATCTTCTCCCTCTTTGTTGTCTCCTCCTATGAAGAACCAGGGGGCCACAACCCTAAAGTCAGTTCAGGTGCTGCAGAAGAAAAACAGCTCCCAGCCAGGCTGTGGTGGTGTATGCCTTTAATCCCAACATTCGGGAGGCAGAGGCAAGCAGATCTCTGTGAATTCAAGGCCAGCCTGGTCTACAAAGTGAGTTCCAGGACACGCTCCAAAGCTACACAAAGAAACCCTATTTTGAAAAACCAAAAAGAAAAAAGGAAGGAAAAGAGAGAGAGAAAAAAAAAAAAAAAAACAGTTCCCTGTGGCACGATTAATAAAAAACCAGAGACAGAAATTGGGGTTCAACCTGAAGGCCAGAAAAGTAAAACAGTCAGACACTGGCTCTTACCTCTACTTCAGTCTGCGATTCTGCCTTCATGGTTCTCAGAATGAGACTGAGACTGAGAGCTGTCTCCTCCCGTTTTGCAATCCTCTCTAATTCTGGAATTAAGGGCATGCACCACTACCGCTTGGTTTCTATGGCAACTAGTGTGGCTACTGGGATTAAAGGTATATGTCATTGCTGCCTGTAAGACTGGCCAGTGTAGCTGTTTTACTTTTCTGATCCTCAGGCAAACTTTAGTTATTATAATACAAATGAAATGCTACTACAGTTCCCATGGGACCCTTGCTATCAAAAGCACTTCTCTACCCTATAGGAAGCCAAGTTCCACTTAAAATTTAAGATCCTGATCAGCTCACCTCCGTCTGTGGCTTCATCCTTGAATAGTTCCTCAGTGCCAAATTTGAGGATGTCATCAAGCTCCTGTTTGGACATTGAGCCCGTCTTGGAGCCTAGCCCAGGCCGCACCACTAAATGTGTCAGCATCATCTTCTTCTTTGCCACCTGCGTGATGCGCTCCTCCACTGAAGCACGAGTCACAAAGCGGTAGATCATCACCTTCTTATTTTGCCCAATACGGTGGGCTCTACTAAAGGCCTGGATTTGATCAAACAAAACCAGCAATCTTATGTCCTACCGTCTTTCACAGAAATCAGAGATGATACTAGTCAGAAGCTGAAGCTAGTCTTCACATAACATTTCTTTTTGCACCTTTCCCTCCATATACCGCCTCTCATCACATCACCCAAAAGAGGACTATAACTAATTCCAATTCTCAGATAATGACATTCAAAAAAAAAAAAAAAAAAGGAAAAAAAATAAGAA